TGCTAACGGATAGCTGGGAGAAATAACTCCCTTATTGAAATGGAGCAGATATTTTGAAATTAAATGTTTTCCACAGATTATCAAGACAGACAGACAGACAGACAATACATTTGTTTGGAAACCATGAAATACATACGAAATATTCAATGAGATAATATAAATTCAAAATTTTTGCTATATAAAAATGAAACTTTTGGTAACCTATAACAGCTCAATTTCCCTCCAATTTATCTTCTAAGTTACTTAGCCCTGGTCCTTACCTCACATGCTCTGATTTCAGGTGAATGGGTATCTAGTACTCCTACTACTCCACCTCTACACATTCTTTACCTGTACACTGTCATTCTACCTGCCCAGCTTTCTCCAAGATATGACCCTCTCAACCATCCCCACTTTCTCCTGGACCTTTACCGCACCTTTTTTGTCCAGTTCATTCTTAGTACTACAAACATTTTGAAGTTGCCTTCATTCAAAAAAAAAAAAAAAAACCTTCCCCGCTGCATTAATCTCATTAATTCCTTGCCTCTCTTAATGCTAGACTTCCTGAAGCAATAGGCTTTCAACTTTTACAACTCCTCTCCACCTATTACAATTTGCTGTTCAACCTCACTACATGAGGCAGAGAGAGGGTCCTGCATGGATCACCAGTGACCCCCATGTTGCCCATTAAATGAGTCTATTTTCAGTCTTCAAGCATTTTAGTCTTGACCTCCCAGCAGCATTGAGTGCTTCCAACCATCCTCTTTCTTGAAACTCTTATGCAGGCTCCATATAACAGTTTTCTCCTGATTCTCTCCTATTTTGGACCATCTCTCATTCTCTTTTGCTAAGTCCTTCTTATTTGTTTTAGGTTAACTTTTCACAGTACCTACTTTCCCTGATTTCATCTACTTTCATGACATCAAGCATTATCTAAATAATGATAATAATGATAATTCAAAGTTCTCTATCTCCAGCCCCAGCTTTCTGTGATGTTCTGAGTAGGCCAAGTTGTAAAAATTACAGATTTGTATGGAGGCGGCCAAACCAAATGCTGCCTCTGCCCCCTTCTCTGTTTCACCAAAGACTTCTTCTAGTCTCAAACATGGCAGTGGTATACAGAAAAGTGTTCTTTCTCTTTTAAAAAGATTGTTAGGGGGGCGCCTGGGTGGCTCAGTCAGTTAAGCATCTGCCTTTGGTTTGAGTCATGATCTCAGTGCTCTGGGATCAAGCCCGGAGTCATCGGCTCCCTGCTCAGGCAGGAGTCTGCTTCTCCCTCTCCCTCTACACCCGCCCCCCACAGCGCTCGTGCTCTCTGTCTCTCTGAAATAAAATATTTTTTAAAAAATTAAAAATAAATAAATAAATAAAAAGATTGTTAGAGGATGAGGGGAATATTGTTGGAGTGTTAGTTTTGGTGATTCTCTTTAAATAATTCCCAAATAACTCCAATCCAAGATTCATCCCGAATGGAGTAATTTTATATGACCAAACATGCACAAGGTTTACCCAAACGAAAAGACAGAAATGGCACGAAAAGACAGTAGTTCCACAAGTAGCCAAAAAAATGAACAATTTATACAGATCCTAAAAATGCTGAAATGTGTAGAACATGATATTTAAATTCCGGAGGATCACATTTCTAGTATATTGATTATTAGCTGTTAGTAAATCTTAGGAATGTTAAGTTTAAGATCACTGGCTATATTCACGGAAGAAATAATGTTGTAACAATAAGTTATGCTTTAAAATTGCTCAGAAAAATGAAAAAGAAAAATACTGTAACAAAAGTTTTAATTAAGCAGGGCATATTTAAAAATTTTGGCTTCCATTAAAAAATGTTTTGGGCTTGGCTAAACCCAGTTTTTTTCATAGCTATACAAACTAATAACTTTTTAAAAAGATTTTATTTATTGGGGTGCCTGGGTGGCTCAGTCGTTAAGCGTCTGCCTTTGGCTCAGGTCATGATCCCAGGGTCTTGGGATCGAGCCCCGCATCGGGCTCCCTGCTCAGCGGGAAGCCTGCTTCTCCCTCTCCCACTCCCCCTGCTTGTGTTCCCTCTCTCACTGTGTCTCTGTCAAATAAATAAATAAAATCTTAAAAAAAATTTTTTATTTATTTACTTATTTTGAGAGAGAGAGTATGTGAGAGTGGGGGGTGGGGCCTGGGAAGAAAGGCAGAGGGAGAGAGAGACTCTCAAGCAGAATTCGAGCTGAGCATGGAGCCTGAGGCAGGGCTCAATCTCACGACCCTGAGATCATGACCTGAGCCGAAATCAGGAGTCGGACACTTAAGCAACTGAGCCACAGGCGCCCCCAAACTGATAACTTTTTTATAAATAAAAGTGTACCATCCTTTTGCTGATTGTACATATTATAAAGAGATGGAGGTATATGGATAGATTCGTCTACTTCTTTCTATAACTGCAAGTGGCCCTGAACTACGGGAGGCTGGATCTGTATTTTAGTGTTAGTATGTAGCAAAAACTGGAGCTGCAGGCCTGAAAGAGTTGCTTCTAAACATAAGTAACTGCTAACTTCTACTCTCCATATACCCAGACATTTGTTTCAAATAGTCACCCACCCTAATATCATGGCTTATCTGTGCAAGTGTTTGAGGAAAGGAAGTCAAAAGCACTAGTACCTCTACTATTTAATCTGTCACCTAAAGTGGTAGAATACTGTACTTGGTGCAAGAATCCTGCTTATAAAGGAGCTCCCAAATTAGGAAGGAACCACTGGTTTCATATGTGAATGGTCCCCCTTAAAGGAAAATTTCATAGGTTAATGATTATAACTAAGTACTTCAATTGTTTTCTACTGTTAGCATATACCTCTATTTAACCATCAGTGAATACTAGTTTCTTTTAAAAGGAACATAAGGAAAATATTTTCCTGCTCATTTAATATCAGTTTACAATAATAATTTTATTTTAGTCTTTTTGATTTTCTGTTTAGAGCAAAACAGAATTGCATGATTATCTTGTCCAACAATCAAAATTTACGTAAGTAAAACAGGTAATTTACTGGCAGATAAACCTATATTTCTGAAAATGTTGATAATTCTTCCTAGCTCTAAAATTCTATGAATTATCAAAGAATTAAAAAATAATGAAATGTTTCAGATGTGAATTAAATATAGAAAAATTCAGAATAAGGTATATTCAGTGGGAAACATATATACTTTATCACAGCTTCTATCTGAAATATGTGGTGTTGAACAAGAAAAGGACAGACAACTCATAATGATCACTGGGATTTTTAAATTTAAGTTTACTGAAGACAAAAATCTGACTTCCAAATTATTTTTATCAACAATTACTCAGCCATCTTAACTGTGTCTACTAACTACATACTATCTTATTTGTCTTTTTTAGCCAGAAAGGAAGTCCTTCAAAAAACAAAACAATCACCAAATGTCCTCTGTCAGAGAAAGTCTAAGGCATGAAGAGACAGTCTTAGGAGGATTATATTTCTACCAGTATGGGACATGATGTTATCTGAAAGTACTGAAAATTAAAAAGCGGGACAGTTTTCTAGCTCCTGAATTAGGTCTTTCACAGCGTGAACTAACAAAATTAACCATCAGGTCAGTTTTTTTCTTTTTAGTAACATGTCACAGTGACAAACGTTTAGCCATATGTATCAATGGAGAAAAGCAATTATTTAATATTTTCCCACTAGGCTTTAGGAATAACTCACTCTCTTATCTCATTGGTTCTACTTCCTCTCACCCATCTCTAAATATTGATGTGCTCAGTCTTCTCTTCTCTGTCTATATTCACTTCCTAGGCAATTTCATTCAGCGCCATGGCAGCATCTGCACACCAGTGACTCCCAAATTTATACCTCTAGTCCCCAACTTTCTCCTGAGCCCTGGACTTGTCTATGCTATTGTTTACTCTCCATTCCTGCTTGAATGTGCAAAAAGCATTTAAACTTACTGTGACCAAAATAGAACCCCATATGTGGACTTCTTCTAATCTTCCTCCTTCTCCATCTTCCATCTTATTCATCCAGGATAAAAATGTAGGATACCATGCTTGCCTCCTCTCTCTCATGCCAACATCCTTACCATGGCCAAGTCTTTACATGATCTGGTTCCTGCTTATCTCTCTCTGTCCTCTCCTCCCACACTCTGCCTAGCTCATGTTGACCTAGTCCCATGGACTTCTGGCAGTTCCTTTTACAAGCCAGTCATTCCCACCTCAGAACCCTTGCACGTGCTTGTCCTATAGTCATTCCCCTGTTTCACCTCCAGTGTGCTCTATTCTCTCACCCTGCATTTTCTCCACAACACATATCATGAGCTGACTACTTATTATATATTTGTATGTTTATTTGTGTGTCTTATTCATTGTTGTATCCTCAACTTCTAGAAAAATACTTGGTACATGGCAAGCACTCAGTAGTGGATAAATGTCACTGTGATATAGCAATGCCCTAATAAAATGGTGTCTCTGTACGATGGAATTCCAAAACATCTGACATACTTATATCAATTTATAAATATAATATGGTCTTTATTTTTATACAAAAATTTTGCATTATTCATAACTTTCTAATTCATTAATTTAAAGAATATATAAATATAAAAATATTTATAAAAATATAAGTATATATAAGCAAAATAAATAGTACAATGAAGCACAGTATTTACTGTTACCAGATGAAGAAAAAGGGAACAGTTTAAAAAACCACTAAATTTAAGAATTAACAAACATTTTTAGAACTCACAAATTTAAACTCAAACTCCCTACCAACAGCTACTAAATATATAAAGATTTATTACTTACCAATAAGCTTTGCTGTTGTGATAATCTCTATCTATCAATTGGGTATAATATGACAACTTTAGTATTTTAATTAATTCACACTTAGGATAAATTAGGAAGCTCATAATTCTTTCATATAAAATCAACATATTAATAGATGAGAAAATGAAAGTTAATTTAAGGAAATTTTACACTGTTAACAAATTTCATGGAAATGTGACATGGAAAATTATAAAAATGCACTTACTTTTTTCATCAGCTTTGTCTTTTATTGCTATGGTATCATTACTCAGAGACACAGTCTGTGCATTCAGAATATCTGTTCTCATTCCAGGAAATTTTGGAGAAGAAATGAAGCGGCCTTCATAAGAATATAAATAGATACCCCCACCATCTACAAGAAGAAAATGTCTAAAAAAAAAAATTTCATTTTATTAAGTCATTCCTGATAGACATTTATTTCAAATTATTCACTGCTTTAAAGCATGTCTAGTATATACACATTTCTATATGTCTACCTTACTTATTTTCTTAGTATAACTTCTAGAAATGCAATAATTGGATCAGAGGGCATATACTTATAAAATTTTAATATAGGTTTTTAAACTGCCCTTTGAAAGGTTGTAATAGTTTACACTCATACCACTGCCATATTGGAGTGCCTGATTCCTCAATGCTGAACACAGTATTACTTTTTAAAATCTTATGTTCAAAACTGTAATATCCTTGATTCAGAACTATTTCTTGATTCAGGAATTGCTAAGTGTTCTTTCTTGGCATGGAAACAAATATATACTAAAATTTTAATTAAATTAATACTTGAGTATTGGTGTGTAGTTTAATTGAAGGGTTTGGCCCTTACACATTAGTGTATGAAAACAATATTTGCTAATGTTGACAAAGTGACACATCATATTAGTATACATTTTTTCTTTGTTTCAATATTAAAAACTTTTTCTCTCCTGAACAAGACACTATAAGCTTTTAACCTCCTTGTGAGTAAACCTGTGTTTCAAAGGGCAAACATTTCTAAATGTAGAAATAGGACAAACATTAGGCAGTAAGTAAATTATTCTTTACCTAATCAGTTATGCCATTAACATATGCCTTTACTAAGAGCATATTCAATACACTTATAAGTAATGTATAAGTAAATTTATTTGGCACTGTTTGAATAAAAAGAATTTCAGAAATATGGTTTTTTAGATAGCTGACATCTTACTTTTTAAGTGGAAAAGACATCTTTTTGTATTAAAAATGTATTATGTTACAAAATAATATTATTTCAATTTCACCAAACAGATGATACAAAATTTGACACAATTTTCTCAATCACTCAAGGTCATCAATATGATGATCATCTTCTTCAGTAACTGTTTAACTGACAGCTTTGGTACTCATGAGAATCTGTTGGTGAATCAGAGTAATTAAGCTATTCAGCTATACAGTTCTGTGCTTTTCGTTTTCTCTATGCTGCCTTGCCAGGCAGTCACTTTTCTTCTTGTCCTTGTGCCAGCCTCTCACAGCCCACCAGCATTCCTCCTCTGGTTTGCTATTTATAAAAGGCTGTGGGTTAGAAAACCTGATAACACTATTAGGAGATTGCCTAGGTGGCGAGTAAAGGAATGAGGAATAAAATACATGGTTTTAGTGCAAAGATTTCATGGGTAGCTATTTTAGGCAATTGTTGATTTCTATTTTCAAACTTTATTCCTGGTTTTGTTGGGTTGTAGTTTTCTAAGACTGACCTCTGATTCAGTAGGATATCACTGTACTTGATAGACTGACTGATGATAGTTTTTATGGAAAAGTGTGGGTTCTTGAGGAATAGCTATTCCCACTTTACTCCAGTTTGTTGGCCTGGAGTTTCATCGTCCTGTATACACTGAAGGCGTGGGTAAGGAATATTATTTTTCAAACTTCAGGTCACAGCCACGCAATGGCTCCTAAAATCAATGTGTTTCAAATATTTAAAACCAAAGACAAGAACAGAACAGAATAAAAAATAAGGGCCCTGAGGTCACAACGATCTCATAGTAACTCCCCCGTTTCTTTCTTTTTTTTTTTTTTAAGATTTTATTTATTGGAGAGAGAGAGAGAAGGGGACATGAGATGGGGGAGGGACAGAAGGAGAGGGAGAAGCAGACTCCCCACTGAGTGCAGGGCCCAACCTGGGGCTTGATCCCAGAGCCCTGAGATCATGACCTGAGCTGAAGTCAGAAGCTTAACTGACTGAGCCACCCAGGTGCCCCAACCCCTCTCATTCTCTCAGATCATTACTTTGATATTTACTTATAATAAATTTAGTCTCATCATTCTTAATAAATTAATACCTTTTATATTTCTCGATTTAAATTTTTAGTATAGTAAATGCTGAGACATATAATCTATATATAACCCTCAAGAACTTTTTAAGAGTGTAGAGAGGGGTGCCTTGGTGGCTCAGTCAGTTAAGCATCCGACTCTGGATCTCAGCTCAGGTCTTGATCTCAGGGTCATGAGTTCAAGCTCTGCATTGGGCTCCACTCTGGACATGTACCTACTTAAAAAAAAAAAAAAGAAGGTAGAGAAATTCTGAGACCAACAAGCTTCAGAACCATTGACCTAATAGCTTATTCTTACTTTTTTCCTTTAAAATGAATAGAAACAGGGGCGCCTGGGTGGCTCAGTTGGTTAAGCAACTGCCTTCGGCTCAGGTCATGATCCCAGGGTCCTGGAATCAAGCCCCGCATTGGGCTCCCTGCTCAGTGGGGAGCCTGCTCCTCCCTCTCCCACACCCTGCTTGTGCTCTCTTTCTGTCAAAGGAATAAATAAAACCTTAAAAAAAAATAAATAGAAACAGATTGATTCCAAATGACTAATGTACCATTCTGTAAGTGGCATGCTTTAAAGAGTGCTTTACTGCAGGGCGCCTGGGTGGCTCAGTTAGTTAAGCAACTGCCTTCGGCTCAGGTCATGATCCTGGAGTCCCTGGATCGAGTTCCGCATTGGGCTCCTTGCTTGGCAGGGAGTCTGCTTCTCCCTCTGACCCTCCCCCCTCTCATGTGCTCTCTCTCTCATTCTCTCTCTCTCTCAAATAAATAAATAAAATCTTAAAAAAAAAAGAGTGCTTTACTGCAATCTGAAATATTTTAACCCCCTATTCAATAGTCAAACATGATAAACACATACCTTTCTGCCTGCAGAATTAAACTAACAGTTCCTTCTTTAAGATCAAATATAAGTGGTGTATTCCAGTTCTTCGTACTAAAAGATAAATAAAATGGATATTTATTAACATTCAAAATACCAAATACTTTTTAATAAATAGATAAGTATTCATTATAAATACTGTCATCAGTTTCACCATAACTATATATATTTCTATCATAGCACTAGGCACATTGTTCTGAAATCATTTACTTACATGTCTGTATCCCTGAGCAGAAATCAAACTCTGTGTAAGTAATAAGTATTTAATAGTAAACGTTCAACAAATGTTTATTCTAGGTATCACAATATGTGAATTGAGGAATCCTAAGTGCAAGTTCTGTCATTTATTAGCTCTGTGATTTGGGCAAGTCATCTTATGTTTCTCATCTGATAAATAGTAGCAGTATGACTTGGTAAAGAAAGGACACATTTTTGGCTAGCCAAGGATTAGCGATCTGGTTTCACCACCTGTCGACCATATGATCTTAATAAGCTTAACCTCCTAAGCATCAGTTTCTTTACTTGTAAAATGGAGATAATGGCGACTCACCTAAAGTGTCTAGCTAACTGCCTCTTATATAGGAGATACTGAACAAACAGAAACTATAATAACAATAATGTTATGAACATGAGCATTTTTCCTACAGGTCTCCCAATGTTACTGTTAGTCCAAATGAAGATTTCTGTGAAGCATTCTGTAAACTGTAAAATACTACGTAAATGTAAGTTATGACCATGCTTATTGAATAAACGGATAAATAAATGAACAAATAACTCTTTTGGTTTCTATAGTGTAATATGATTCAAAGACAGGAAAGAGGGAGAGAACATTTACAAACTGAAAACCCACCTCAAATCATCAAAGTTTCAGTTTAAAATGTTTTATTACTCTTAAGTATTCTGAATTCCTCTCAATTATTTTCATGAAACCAATTCTTTAAATCAGATTAAATCTCATATTCAGATCCAGAAAGTGCAGGAAGGGGAAGGATGCAGTAAGTGGGCATACTGGTGGGAAATTAATACTGGCTAATGCAAAGAGTCTGGCACCCGCTTCAATAAGTAAATGCACGCACAAAGCGAAACAATGAATAAAATACTAATAATTAGTAAGCCTGGTGTTCACAGGTATGATAAAGATATGTGCTTTATACTTTAGAAAAGATATCATAGCATGCTTCATTTATGTAGTCACTGGATTAACCTTCATTCTTTGATAAGAATAGTGATTGTGAGGTTTTTAAATGTCCCCTTGCAAAACATCTGATATTTATGACTACTGGGATATATATACCTGCCATGTAAATATAAACTCCCTAAACCACATTGGTGAATAGAGCAAAGGTATTTTTCTATACAATTATTTGAAAAATCAAATGAAAATTTAACATAGAATACTTATGTATTTTTTACTTTTTCTGGAACTTTTCATATAAACCACTATATTGCTTACATGCTTGTTTTAAAAATTATATTTTTATTACTAAAATAGGGGTATCAGCTATTAAGAACTAAGAGTCAAACCCCAGCTCTTCCTTTAGTAAGGCAGTTTAGTAATTTGACCTAGGGTGAATTACTTAAATACTCTGTGTGTCCTTTAGTTTCTTCCTCTTGTAAAATGGGAATAATAATACTCAACACACAGGGTAAATTAGACCAGGACCATAACAGACAGTATAATAGTGCTCGATAAACGATAGTTGTTGTTATCTAAAATACTAGTAGGTTTTTTGGGGCCTCTGGCTGGCTCAGTCAGTAGAGGATGCGACTTGATCTCGGAGCTGTGAGTTTGAGCCCCACGTTGGGTGTAGATATTACTTAAAAATAAAATCTTTAATACATAAATAAAGAAAATAAAAACACTAGGTTTTTTAATTTAATGAAATATATTTTGGTGAAAATAGGTCTCAGCACTACCTCATTCCCACTATTGCTCCCTGGTATTTCACTTTAATAAATATTTTGTACTTTAATAAATGTCTTGACAAGAGAGGGGAGGCAAGACTAAACCAGAAAAGAAGAAAAGCAATCTTATATTTTGCCACATATTAACTAGTATGTGAAAAGTAGAGTGACAAAATTAAATCACAGCTGCTAAACTTTTGAGTATTTTAAAAAGCAACCTCTCTAATACAAGTAACACGATACTAATCCTGTGGATTCAAGTATGTCATTGCCACTAAAACTAGCAGAACAAACCCATCACTTGGGGTGGTTAAGAGCCCTACCTTTCTTCAAACAAACCCGAAATTGAAGAGATCTTCTCTATTTTTTCTCAAGTCCATGAAAATTAATTATTCAAATGACTATGTGTACTAAGTGATTGTGAAATTTCTTCACATTCTATAATCCCTCCCCTATATAGCAACTGTGTAACTGGGTATCTTTCTTGACTTTTCCCAGAGTCTTACTGTTGCTCCTTCTCCTTCATGTAAGAAAAAAATTTCAGTTAAATTGAGCTACCTGTTTCTTTGTCCCCTCTCTTCTCTGCTTCTCCCATTTAATTCTTGGTTGCTGTCCTAAGTTGCAGATTCTGATTAGTAGCAGATTTATACATAGTGAGTGAGAATTTTTAATATATAGTTGTAATAAATGTTACTGTTAATCAAATTGGATATCTTTGTGCTGTGTATTACTGGGCTTAGGAATCCAAGATACCACTATACTTTATTTTTTGATTCATTTATTCATCCAAGAATTTTTTTTTATTAAGTACCTACTACATGTTGAACACGGTGCTGGGTACTGGGTGTACAATTGTGAATAAGACACATATAGTCCTTATCTTCAATTTTATATTCAATGATTAAACTATAACCACATGATTTTATAAAGATAAGCACAGAATATAAAAAACAATCGTTAACTGTTCACAACTCTTGAAAGTAACATCGTGGTTACTTGAGTTTCCTGGATAGTTGAGAAGTCAACTGGTGGCATGCTTAGAGCCAGCTTGTACCAAGTGGTATATTTTCAGGAGTTTTGCAGGCCAACTGTCAAATAGAGGTATTTTTTAAAATTAAATTATATAAACTTATAATTAAGCAAATTATATTCAAAACAAAGACAGTAAGTACTCCAAACCTATTACTTCCAGATGATTTTACTACCTTTTACTATTATCTATGCACTTGAGATTATTTACATCTGTTATATCTATATGATGGCAATTCTATATAATGGCTTGCTACTGTGCATCTCTTTTCAATTCTGCCTTCAGTGACATCATATTGGTATCTTGAAATCAGCCTTGGTAGAAGTATTTACGTTATAGAAATAGGCAAACACTGCAAATCAGGTTGGTTTGTTTGTTTCCAAAAAGCCAGTTCAACATTTATCAGCAGATATTGAGTTACACTTTGGAAAATACCAAATATATTTGTTTTAGGCACAAGTTTCTTGGATGTACTGAATTATTCCCTGCTTTCTAACACAAAATAGATTGAACATATTTTCTTTCATTATTTATGGGCAACTCTGGATTTTCAATATGAACAGCCAAGATTACCCTAGGCTATAACACTAAGCCTGAATACCTCCTTGTGTCCTTACTGAACATCTTTCAGCCTGTTGTCAGGCTGCTAGCTGTCCTCTCTCTTCCAGTGGTGAGGTGGGTCCTTTTCCCATCATTTATCAGCTGCTCCTCTGGGCTTTGAAATCAAGTTACACTAAATTCCTTGGGACTGTGAGGAAAGTAAGAGTAAACACTATCTCAGAGAAAGTATTTTCTATTATAAAAATGATTATTAACTTCTGATGCACAAACTTTATTAGATTTATTTTCACTGCTTATACCTCATTTTTAAATCACTTTTTGGTTGGGAGTAAGTTCAGGATAAGTGAGGTTTTAAGAAAATTAAATTTAGAACCAAACCATGTTGATAGGAAAGCTTGAAAATAAATTTCCTCATCATAGACAAAACTTTGAATTTTTAAGAAATGCCAAGATGCTTACGAGAACACATAACATTGAAGAGACGTTGAAACAACTAAGTGTGCATAGTTCAAAGATGCTTTAATGACTCTATCACGGAATTCCAGTAAATCCACTGCATCATTAAGAACATTACGAACCTAAACAAGGAAAAAGGAAACACCAAAAAACAACATTAAAATACATCAGAATTTTAATTAGGTAAGTTAGCAAGATTTTGAAGCATAAAATTCAATGCACTCTGGATTACCTACTCATATAAAAAAAATTCAGTAGGAACTGGGCATAAGATGACATATTTGGGTATAAAAATCAACCAACAAAAGAAAGACACACAAAAAACTTAGAAATGTAGATTTCTAACCTGAAAGCCAATCTCAATGATGTAACAATGGAGAAATAGGTGAAAAATGCTATAACATTGAGATATAGTAAAAAATATATATGGCATATTGGAGTTGGAAAGAGACTATATGATTTCTGCCCAGACAGTAAGAATATCTCTTTTTAGGGCTAGGTTTTACTTTAAAATTTAAGTTCTAAAAAAAAGAGATGTAATAATTTAAAAAATCAAAATGGAGTGGGAGGTATTAGTAAAGACACCAACTGTGAAGAAGTCAAGCTGCACAGAGGGGCACAAATACTACCATTACATAGAGATAATATATAAGGAAGCTAAGTACTAACTAACAAATAAAAATTTTACTTATGATAGTCAAACTGTTACAAAAGTAGCAGAATAAAGCTAGCAAGGATTTTAACACTTGGCAGTATCTGCTAACAACCTTAAGTTGACAGACAATCTGCAACAAATTAAGAAAAATGTTGAGCAAGTTAAATTTATCTAATCTCTTGTCAATACCAGATGGGTAGGACATTGTAGTAAGAGGTGAAAGTAGAGAAAAAGAGATTAATTGTACCTAGAACTTAGCATTTCTTTAAATTCCCCTCAAAATGTTAGCATCTTTCTAAATATAATGTGGCAATTGTAGAAAGGGTACGGAGATAAAAAGAGAAAGACAAACTTCTTTAAGGTACTTCTTCAAAGCACTTATACCTATAAGGCATATTACATTTTTATTATCTGCTCTTCAACTCCCATCTCCACGAAACTACCACCATGATGGAGATAGCAAAATTACATATACATATATTCCTTGACCCAGCAATCTTACTTGTAGAATTCTATCACAAAGATAAATAAGCAAAATCATGAAATAACACACACATGAAAGGTTGTTACTATATACAGCTCTATTGGTAATAGGAAAAGACTGGAAACAGCCCAAATGTCTATCAATAAGTGATAGACTGAATAAACTATGGTATATTCACAAAGTAGAATACTATACAGCTCTAAAAAGAAATAAGATCTATAGAGTGATCTCTAGGATATAGTGTAAGGTGAAAAATGCAAGATGTAAAACAATGTGTCTAGTCTAATACCTTTTATCTAATAAAAGGAAGGATATGAAGATATATGGATTTGTTTTTGTTTTTTTTTTAAAGATTTTATTTATTTGACAGAAAAAGACACAGCAAGAGAGGGAACACAAGCAGGGGGGGTGGGAGAGGGAGAAGCAGGCTTCCTACCGAGCAGGGAGCCCGAGGTGGGGCTCGATCCCAGGACCCCGGGATCATGACCTGAGCCGAAGGCAGACGCTTAACAACTGAGCCACCCAGGCGCCCCTGGATTTGTTTTTTTTAAGTGTATACTTTAATCAGTATATAAACAATTAGGTAAGCTTATGGAGAGGCTGACTAAGATACATATATTGGGAGATAACAAGTATCCATCTAAATTTTCTATATTTCATTTTTTTAACAGAATATTTATTCATGTTGTTTACTGTATAATTTCTCATGTGCCACTTTATAAGTCCTTTATTGTAAAGACCATTCTTTTCTCTGATGACAAACAGCAGCCATACTGTCAGTGATTATTCCGGACCTCCACATTGGATAAATTCAATTTCTTCTTGAGATACAAGTTTTGAGATACAAGTTTCCTTCTGTATTTCTGAGGTAATATTTTTATTATTTCTGCAGTGTCCAGTGGACCCTGATGAATCAGCAAATCTGGTGATTTACTTCCCTTAGAATGCTGTGAAACTAGGGCACCTGGGGGGCTCACTCATTAAGCGTCTGCCTTCGGCTCAGGTCATGATCCCAGGGTCCTGGGATTGAGCCTCGCATCAGGCTCCCTGCTCGGTGAGCCTGCTTCTCCCTCTGCCTTCCACTCCCCCTGCTTGTGCTCTCTCTCTCTCTCTCAAATAAATAAATAAAATCTTAAAAAAAAAAAATGCTGTGAAATTAAAGAAGAGTGAGAGGATAGTCCTGCTGATCTGAAAACTTCTGATACACTGGGTTTAGGAATTGTCTCTTCTGTCAGAATCCCATACTAGGGCGCCTGGGTGGCTCAGTTGGTTAAGCGACTGCCTTCGGCTCAGGTCATGATCCTGGAGTCCCGGGATCGAGTCCCGCATCGGGCTCCCTGCTCGGCGGGGAGTCTGCTTCTCCCTCTGACCCTCTCCTCTCATGCTGTTTCTCGCTCGCTCTCTAATAAAATAAATAAATAAAATCTTAAAAAAAAAAAAAAAAAAAAAAGAATCCCATACTAATAGAATATGTGGCTTGACTACCTGAACGACCCTGCCGGCAGACGCCATCTTGCTGTCCCTCATGACCCTGAGATGGGGCAGCTTCTGGGGCGCTTGCTAAGCACAGAAATAACAGGAGTCCTGAGGAGTTGGGGGTGGGCCCTGCCTGTGATATATGGATTTGTTTATGTTAAAGAAGCAAAACAAGAAATCTAAAACAGTATTCATAACATATTATCAGAATAATATTAATGTTATTTTATTTTATTTTTTTAAGGTTTTTTTTAATTTATTCATTCGAGACACAGAGATACAGAGAGAGAAAGAGAGAATGTGAGCAGGGGGAGAAGCAAAGGGAGGGGGAAAAGCAGGCCCCCGCTGAGCAGGGAGTCTGACGCGGGACTCGATCCCAGGACCCTGGGATCATGACCTGAGCTGAAGGCAGACACTTAACCATCTGAGCCACCCAGGCGCCCTGATGTTGTTATTTTAAACTATATTGTGGGATATAGTTTAATATATATGTTTGTATGTATATATATATATGTGTAAGATAGATAGATAGATAGATAGATAGATAGATAGATAGATAAATAGACAGATAAATAGGCCAAAGATGGGACCATTTGAGCATTGAAAAGAATAATAACTGCAATGGATTGAAACACATCAAAAATTTTAAAATCTGCAAGTTTATAATGATTACATCATCATCAATGACAACAACACTCATGGGGAAATCAACTCATTATTTGAAAATTGGTAAATATAGAAAATAGTTCAGAACTGTTTCACCTCAGAGTAACCAAATGGTTGAAAAGGCAGTGTCTTATGGAAGAACTTTAGCTAATAAATGCAGAAGGAATGGTAGAATTACAAGATTACCATTTTGCAAATCCCAATGAAACATGGTTCTAGACAAGTATTATCAATGGCTGCTAAAAATATTAAAGTAAAAGCCTAATGAGCTCTTCAGACTTTTTTTTTTATGATTGATGAATCAAGACTTACAATACCTAAGCATATTGATTAACCATAACATCACTAAAAGAGAGATAAGCAGACATATGTTGTCTCTTGATGTGATGCAATAGGAAGTCCATAACATTACTTACAAAGTGTTCTTTATACTTATCAAGGCTCTAAATCTAATAACCAGTCTACAGGAAATACCGGGGCTAGATGAACATGTTAAATCGAATCTTATCCCATAAGGATGCAAACGGGAAAATGTGAAAAATTCAGCAGAACAAACCACCTGGTTTCTTAAGCAAATAAAGAGAAGAAATTATTTCAGATTTAAAAAGACTGAAGAGAATGGTAGAAACATTAGATTGGCAGCAGACCTATCCACAGAGACCTGGCAGGCCAGAAAGGACTGGCATGATATATTCAGAGCACTAAACAAGAAAAATATGCAGCCAAGAACACTATATCCAGCTAGGCTGTCATTGAAAATAGAAGGAGAGATAAAAAGCTTCCAGGACAAACAAAAACTAAAAGAATTTGCAGGGGTGCCTGGGTGGCTCAGTTGTTAATCGTCTGCCTTTGGCTCAGGTCATGATCCCAGGGTTCTGGGATCGAGCCCCGCAACGGGCTCCCTGCTCAGCAGGAAGCCTGCTTCTCCCTCTGCCCACTCCCCCTGCTTGTGTTCCCTCTCTGGCTGTCTAATATTTCTCTCTGTCAAATAAATAAATAAATAAAATCTTTAAAAATCTTTTAAAAAATCTAAAAAAAAAAAAAAAAGTTAAAAGAATTTGCAAACACCAAGCCAGCCCTACAAGAAATATTGAAAAAGGGTCCTCTAAGCAAAGAGAGAGCCTAAAAGTAACATAGACCAGAAAGGACTAGAGACAATATACGGTAACAGTCACCTTACAATACTATGTAAGGTGTACTGTAGGCAATACTATGGCAATACTATGGCACTAAATTCATATCTTTCAATAGTTACCCTGGAATGTAAATGGGCTAAATGCCCCAATCAAAAGACACAGGCTATCAGATCGGATGAAAAAACAAGACCCAACAATATGCTGCCTGCAAGAGACTCATTTTAGACCCAAAGACACCTCCAGTTGAAAGTGACGGGGTGGAAAACAATTTAACATGCTAATGGACATCAAAGGAAAGCTGGTGTGGCAATCCTTATATCAGAGAAATTAGATTTTAAACCAAAGACTATAATAAGAGATGAGGAAGGACACTATATCCTACTTAAAGGGTCTATCCAACAAGAAGATGTAACAATTGTAAATATCTATGCCCCTAACATGGGAGCAGCCAATTAATAACAAAATCAAAGAAACACATCAACAACAGTACAATAATAGTAGGGGACTTTAACACCCCCCTCACTGAAATGGACAGATCATCTAAGCAAAAGATCAACAAGGAAATAAAGACTTTAAATGACACACTGGACCAAATGGACTTCAGAGATATATTCAGAACATTCCATCCCAAAGCAACAGAATACACATTCTTCTCTAGTGCCCATGGAACATTCGCCAGAATAGATCACATCCTAGGTCACAAAT